CACTTCAATCCTGCTGTCGCCTGGGATTGCAACATCAACGATCCACACTCCTGTTTTTTAACACGATTGTGAGGTCAGGAGTATTGTGCTCCAAAACTCTGTCAGTATGAATTTGGAAGTCCCAGAGTAGTTTGGTGTGTTCATTTTCTGTAACTTTTTCAGGCTTGTGATCCCACCAGTTCTTTATCGCAGGCAGATGGTATTTGTGGCACAAATTACAATGAATCATCTGAGCAATGGTGTTATGACTCTGCTTGTAGTCTGTCTGCGCGATCTTCTTCTTCTTCTTCTTCTTCTWCTTCTTCWTCMTCTTCTTCTTSMMCWAWRCACGTCTSWTGATGYMSATGATGARSAMMKTGATGATGATGATGATGATACCATGGATGGACCAAGAGTTGGAATTTTACAGCATCCTCAACATTGGTTTGCCCAAGGAGACGTGTGATGATGATGATGATGATGATGATGATGATGATGATGATGATAATCTATAATCTTCTATCTTCTAAAAGTGAAAATATGTATGTGTGTATGTGCCTGGAGTGCCCACTTTCACACACAGGCTCCCACTTCCACAAACAGCTTTAACCCACAGTGTTGAGGAGCTGCCAATGTCCTCCCCAAACACCATTCTGCCCACTGCCCAAGGAATGCTTTCATTCAGGGACAATTTCATCCTAGATTTTACGTTTCCTCCACCACAGACATCCCAGTGTTTCTTACTCTCTCCATTGGTGTGGAATTTGCATGACCCTGCCCACCGCCTCTCCCTTAACCCTTTCCTACTCTTTTCAACTCTGTCTGCACAACAAACAGTGCAGAACGAATCAGCAACTAAACATAATGGAGGAGTTTGGGGGATTGACTCCACATGATGAAAGTTGTAGTTCACTCCACATCAACAAGTCAGATCACTGTGACCCCCACTGACAATGAACCTGGACCACATTTGGCACATAGAGCCCCCATGACCCCCATGGTTTTTTTTTGGGGGGGGGATTTACCTTGATTTATAGCTGTTGTAGTTACTGGGATTTATAGTTCACCTGCGATCAAAGAGTACCCTGGACTCCACTGATGATGGACCTGGTCCTAACTTAGCACACAGGACCTCCATGACCAATTGAACATACTGGAGGGATTTGAGGGGACTGGCCCATCATGGTGGGAGCTGTAGTTTATCCTGCAGTCAGAGAGCACACTGAACCCCATCAATGATGCATCTAGAGCAAACTTGCCCAACATGACAAACTTTGACTAGTGATGGAGTTTCAGGGGTTTAACCTGGCATGATGGGAGTTGTAGTTCACCCACTACCTTATGCATTTCGTAATTTTTTTTAAAATTACTTTTTCAAATAACCTGGACAACGGCAGGCAAACAAGCTAGTAATAATAATATCCTTTGGTGAACACTGCAGGGGTGTTGTCAGCTTCATCATAGTCYCCGGGAGGATTTCAAGCAGCCTTTTGTATTGTGTCAAATGTCAGTAAAGTCCATACACATCCAGGATGGAAGGGGGGGGGGGGCAAAACCTGGCCCTTTCGAGAGTTGGATGAGGATGGCTTTCCAATTGTTGTATAGGATTTTAAGCATAGTAACGGATTGAAAGGCAGTTGCATAGGCTTTTAAGTATTGTAACGTATCGGACGGTGCCCCTGGGCAACGTAACCCGAAAATTTGGGTGCAGAAAGCTGGCTGTGGTTTTTTTTGTGTTGCCGAAAAAGCTTGAGAAATGAGAATCCCGCATCAACAAGTGTCCCCGGATCCCTGATCCGCCTGAGCGCACAAAGGCTCAAGGATTAGGTTGGCAAAGAACACCTCTGGCTTTGTGAGCCACTTCCCGAATGCTTTTCCTCTCTGGTCAAATATTTGGACAAATGCTCAAACAAAGGCACGCGTGCACACAACACACCCTTTGCTGTTGCTTTTTTGTGTTTTAGCCCGCACAAGCGTAGCCCTCTCTGCTGCTTGGGATCAAGTGAAACAATCCCGAGAAAGCTACCAAAACTTCCAGACAGTAAGAGCTGCTCAAGAGTAGAATATATGTAAAAAAAGAGTTTTTAAACAGATAGTCATATGTCAGGAGGGATTGGATGGGGTCGTCCTTACTGGCAGAAAGGGGTCAGACTGGCTGGCCCTTGGGGTCCTTTCCAACTCTTAGGAATCTCTGATTAGAGCCCTATTTCTTCTGTTAATGTCTATGAGGTTGGATGGCCATCTGTCAGAAGGGATTGGATTGTGTCTTTTTGCTTGGACTGAACGGTCTTTAGATTTTTTTTCTTGGCAGGTCGGTATATAACATGTTCCCCTTGGCCAGGCAACCCAAAAGTCTCAGTTTGGGTTCCAAAGTGTGTGTGTGTGTGGGGGGGGGGGGGGGGGGGGGGGGGGGGGGATACAATTCAAAGCCCTCCTGACAGATAGCCACCCAGCCATAGATATCATAAATATGACTGAGAGATATGATACATATAGAATAGAATCCTAGAGACGGGGAAGATAATCTATCTATACACATAATAAAAGTGAAAAAATGTATATGTGTGTATGTGGCTGGGGTGTCTACATACACAGACAAGCTCTTGTCTCCACAAACAGCTATAGCTCCCATGGCTCAGGAGACACCAAAGGCCCTCCCTCCAATGACACTGCAGGTTATAGTGCGCACCATGAACATGTAGTCCAAGCCCTGCCAGTGTCCTCCGCCAACACCATACTGCCCACCATCCTTTCATTCAGGGATGATTTCATCCTAGATTTTCTGTTTTTCCTCCACCACAGACATCCCAGTGTTTCTGACTCTCCCCATTGGAGTGGAATTTGCATGACCCACTGCCTCTGCCATAACTCTTTCTTATCCTTTTTTATGGCACACAGCAAACTGAGGAATTGAACTGAATGTACAAGAGAGGTTTGGGGAGAATTCACCATGGTTTATAGAGTTGTAAGTCCTGGGATGTATAGTTCACCTGCAATCTAAGAGCACTCAAAACTCCAACAACAAGGGATCTGGAACTAACTTGGCACAACAAAAAATACTGGAGGGATTGGGAGGGATTTATAGGAGTTGCAGTTCACCTACATCTAGAACACACTATGAACTCAAACAATGATGAATCTGGACCAAACTTGGCATGCATACCCGATATGCTGACATTTGAACACTGGTGGTTTTTGAGGGGAATTGGCCTGGACATTTTGGAGTTGTAGATACTGGGATGTATAGTTCACCTGCAATGAGCACTCTGAAGAAGGAATTGGACCACACTTGGCACATATAGCCCCCATGACCAGAAAAAAATACTGGAGGTCTTTGGAGGAAATTCACCTTGATTTGGGGACGTTGTAGTTCACCTACATCCAGAGAGCACTGTGAATCCAAACACCGATGGATCTGGACCAAACTTGGCCCACATACCTGATATGCCAAAATTTGATTGCTGGAGGGGTTTGGGAGGAACTGACCTTCCTTTCTGGGAGTTGTAGTTCGCCCACAACCAGGGAAACTGGCCTCCACTGATAATGGACCTTGAACCCCCATGACTAACTCAACCTACTGGGGGTTGGAGAGGACTGACTCACTATAGTGGGAGTTGTCATTCACCCTACAGCCAGAGAGAGCAGACTGAACCCCACCGGTGATGCATCTAGATCAAACTTGCCCAAGTAAAATTGACTTTTTCAAATAACCCGGGCAACGGCAGGTACCCAAGCTCATAATAATAAACTTCATTTGTAACTCTCCCGATCTCCGCGGAGGGACTCAGGGTGGTTTGATCCCTCCCGACGGATGGTGATCCAGCCATAGCTATGACAGAGATGATTGAGAGACAGGTATGATAGGTATAACTCAGAATCTTAGACCCCGAGGGTCTAAGAAATGCACTCCTTCTGCGAGGCAGGAAGGCGCAATTCGATCCCTCCTGACAGATGGCTATCCAGCCATAGCTATGATAGCTATCAGAGAGAGAGAGATGATTCCTATCTCATAGACTCTTAAGAGTCAGGGGATATTCCCAAGGGGAGACACAATCTGATCCCTCCCGGCAGATGGCCATCCACTCATTGGTATGATTGAGAGAGATAGAGGGTATGCATAGAATCGAATCTTAGAGTCAGGGGGAGACCTGAAGGAAAGACACAATTCGATCCCTCCTGGCAGATGGCCATCCACTCTTCGGTACGATTGAGAGAGATAYAGGTTACGTATAGAATCGAATCTTAGAGTCAGGGGGAGACCTGAAGGAAAGACACAATTTGATCCCTCCTGGCAGATGGCCATCCACTCATCGGTACGATTGAGAGAGATAGAGGGTATGTATAGAATCGAATCTTAGAGTCAGGGGGAGACCTCAAGGAYAGACACAATTCAATCCCTCCCGGCAGATGGCCATCCACTCATCYGTACGATTGAGAGAGATAGAGGGTATGTATAGAATRGAATCTTAGAATCGGAGGGAGACCTGAAGGAAAGACACAATTCAATCCCTCCCGGTAGATGGCCATCCACTCATTGGTACAATTGAGAGAGATAGAGGGTATGTATAGAATCGAATCTTAGAGTCATGGGGAGACCTGAAGGAAAGACACAATTTGATCCCTCCTGGCAGATGGCCATCCACTCATTGGTACGACTGAGAGAGATAGAGGGTATGTATAAAATAGAATCTTAGAGTCGGGGGGGGGGGGAGGACCTGAAGGAAAGACACAGTTCGATCCCTCCTGGCAGATGGCCATCCACTCATCGGTACGATTGAGAGAGATAGAGGGTATGTATAGAATAGAATCTTAGAATCGGGGGGAGACCTTTAGGAAAGACACAATTCGATCCCTCCCGACACATGGCCATCCACCCATTGATATGATTGAGAGAAGTAGAGGATATGTATAGAACAGACTCTTAGAGTCGGGGGAGATCTCAAGGAAAGACACACATTCTGATCCCACCCGAGAGATGGCCATGCAGTGGGACCCAGGGGAAAGGGGAAAGGGCAGCCTACCTGTCAGCCACAAGGGACTTATGTGGATCCTCTGCCTCTGCCTTGGCGATGCCTGCCTGCCTCCCTTCCCAGGCTTTTATAGCTGCGCTTCGGCCAGGCAGCGCTTCTCATTCACAGGAGCCTCCCAATTAGGTGCGCGCTGCAAGCCAATGCCGTAGTGCTCCGAAGAGAAGCACACACTCATTTTGGCCTCTGGCGTTCCTTCCTTTGTTGCTGTTGCCCTCCATGCCAAGCAAAACAAAGGCATTGTGCCAAGCAATGTAGGGGGAGGTTTGCCTTTCATCCCTTCTTTCTCCTCCTGGACTAATTGAATGTGTGGCTTCCTCCCACCTGATAGATACATAGAGCATCTCTCTCCATCCAAGTCAATATATGTTGGTATGTTGGTTTGTGTCTCAAAGGCTCCGGCATGGCTTGATGGGTCCAAACCAAACTTGGCCCACAGGTCCTTCAGTATCTAATCTAGCTATATACCAAATAAAAGTGAAAATATGCATTTGTATGTGGCTAGGGTGCCCACCTCCACAGACAGGCTCCCACTTCCACAAACAGCTTTCACCCACAGTGCCGAGGAGCCACCAAAAGCCCTCCCACCAATTACATTTCAGGTTATAGTGAGTGCCATGAATATGTAGCCCAACCCCAGCCAAACATCATACTGCACACCACTAAGTGAATGCTTTCATTCAGGGACAATTTCATCCTAGATTTTCTGTGCTTCCTCCACCACAGACATCCCAGTGTTTCTTACTCTCCCGAATGGTGTGGAATTTGCATGACCCTGCTCACTGCCACTCCCTTAACCCTTAATAAAAGTGAAAATATGTATGTGTGACTGGCTGGGGTGATTACTTTCACAGACAGGCGGCTCCTGCCCCCACCTATGAGGACCCACTAATGGCTCTCCCTCCAATCACACTGCAGGTTATAGTGAGTGCTGTGAACATGTACAACCCCTGCCAGAGTCCTCCACCAACACCATACTGCCCACCACCCAAGTGAAGGCATTCATATGGGGACAATATCATCCTAGATTTATATGTTTCCTCCACCACAGACATCCCAGTGTTTCTTCCTCTCTCCAATGGTGTGGAATTTGCATGACCCTGCTCCCTTAACCCTTTCCTACTCTTTTCAGCTTTGTCTGCACAACAAACAGAGCATAACTAATCAGTAACTAAACATACTGGAGGGGCTTGGGGGATTGAATCAACATGATGGAAGTTGTAGTTCACCCTGCATCAATTCAGAGTACTGTTACCCCCACTGACAATGGCCCTGGACCTCATTTGGCACATGGAAAACCCATGATCAACAAAAAATACAGAAGGGCTTTGGGGAAAATTCACCGTGGTTTATAGGAATTATAGTTCTCCTACATCCAGAGAGCGCTATGAACACAAACAATGATGATCTGCACCAAATTTGATGTGCATACCCAATATGCCAAATTTGAATACTGGTGGGTTTTGGGGGGAATTCACCTTGACCTTTGTTAGTTGTAAGTACTGGGATTTATAGTTCACCTGCAATCAAAGAGCATTCTGCATCCCACTGATGATGGACCTGGACCTAACTTGGCACACAAAACCCCCATGACCATCTGAACGTACTGGAGGGATTTGACGAGACTGACCCACCATGGTGGGAGTTGTAATTCATCCTGCAGCTGGAAAGCACACAGAACCCCTCCAATGATACATCTAGAGCAACCTTGCCCAACATGACAAACTTTAAGTATTGATGGAGTTTCAGGGGGTCAATCTGGCATGATGTGAGTTGTAGTACACCCGCAATCTGATGCATTTTGTAAAATTTAAAAAAAACGACTTCTTCTAATAACTCGGGCAATGCCGGGTGCCCAAGCTACTAGTAGTAATAATAATAATAAACAATAGTCCCCCCCCCCCTTTTTACTCTCAGCTCCTTGTAAACTGGGCTCCAAAGTCAGCAAGGAAAGGTGGAGGTAGAAGTCCCTTCGTGGTTGCCTCGGGCAAAAGCCAACCACTGCAGCCTCTTTCCTCATTCATGACCATTGCCATCTTAATGGAGGGTGTGCTCTTTTTCCTATTTTTAGAGCCTAATGCAAGGGCCCTTCATAGAGGCCTCTCTCCCCATTCTATACAACTACAGAGCACTTACTGCTCTCCAAGAGAGCGAACCACCTGGGCCTTGAAGGGTCCTCTGCTTTGTTCGGCGCATGGAGATGCTCACAAAAGGAATGCTTTCTTTGCCTCTCATCTCAAGCACCCTTCAGCCGTACACTGAGGAAACTGTCCCTCGGCTGAGTGTTTTGCTCTCCGCCAGATACAGTTTAGAGTTGGCTGTCCATCTCTCCCTCCCACTCTTTCCTCTGATGAACACAAGGCTATGTCTACACCGTGGAATTGATGTAGTTTAGTCTTTAGTCAGACATGTCATTGGAGGGAGGGCTTTTGGTGGCTCCTCAGCACTGTGGATTAAATCCGTTTGTGGAAGTGGGAGCCCCAGCCACATACTTACATACAATTAGGTAAATAATAATAATAATAATAATAATAATAATAATAATAACCAGTAAATATGGTCCCAGTGGTGATCGGCACATTGGGTCCAGTGCCTAAAGACCTTGGCCTGCACTTAAACACAATCGGAGCTGACAAGATTACCATCTGCCAGCTGCAAAAGGCCACCCTACTGGGATCTGCACGCATTATTTGCTGATACATCACATAGTACTAAACATTTGGAAAGTGTCCGATGTGTGGTCCAATACAATAGCCAGCAGAGTGATCTTGTTTACTGTGGATTCATCTTGTTGTGTTTCAAATAATAATAATAATAATAATAACAACAACAATAATAGATAGATAGATAGATACGGATATATAGATAGGTATATAGACAGATAGATTATTATTATTATCAACAAGGAGACTCAAAATGGTTGAATCTGGGAGGAAGAGTGAGAAACTGGGATGTTTGAAAGGCAACCAAGAAAGCCCAAGACGAGTTGGGGCTGCCCTTTCCAAATGCTTTCCAGCCCCATAGCAACTGCCCACCGGGAGGCACTTGCCAGGGCGTGTTTATAGAATCATAGGACCCTAAAGTTGGAAGGGACCCCTAAAGGCCATCCAGTCCAATACCCTTCTGCCAGGCTGGAAAGCACAGTCGAAACCTTTCCAACAAATGGTAATCCAGCCCTCATAGACGTCAGCAGGCTCATGCTGAAATAGGGCTATAGAGTCCTAGCGTTTGGAAGAGACCTTAAGGGCCATCTAGTCCAACCCCGTTCTGCCAGGCACCATCCAAACCCTCCCGACAGATGGCCATCCAGCCTCATAGACAGCACCAGTTTTATGGAGAAGTAGGGCTATTGAATCAGAAAATCCTACAGTTATAAAGGACCTTGCACCGTGCCCCTGTCAGGCAGGAAAAGCACAATCCAATCCCTCTCGACAAATGGCCATTCCGCCTGTTTCAAAAATTATTTTAACATGTGTTTTAACTTGTTTTGCCTTTAACGTTGTGAGCCTCTTTGAGACTCACTTAAGGGAGGAAAGTGGATACAAAGAATAATAATAATTATGATAGTTCCAAAAGCCCTACAAACCTCACCCGGGGCTTCCTTTGTAAGCAGTATGGTAATAATCACTGCAGTCAGCGGAGCGGAGGCCCGGAAGCAGGGAACAAAAGAGCCAGTGTTTATCTACCTGCAAGAAGGAAAACAACTGGCCCAGAACCAGAAAGGTTCCTTTTCAGAGGAACACCACATACATTGGTTGCTGGAAATGGCCCAGGTGAAAACCAGGAGGGTGCATCTACATGGTAGAGTCAACACAGTTTGATACCACCTGGACTGTGGGTCCAGGGACTGGTTGGAGGTCTGGGTGGCGATTGCACCTATGTGAAGGGTTTGCAGTCAAAATAGTATCAAACTACATTAATTCTACAATGGAGACGCACCTTTGGTAGTGTGTTTTGAGTGTCTGCACTGCATGCGATGTGATTTATATACTCTCTGATGTGTCAGCCTACTGGGATTTAAAGTGCGCTGCAGCGCATTTTTGCGTGGACACCTTTGGTAGTGTGCATTGAGTGTCCACACTGCATGTGATGTGATTTCTATACTTTCTGATGTGTCAGCTTATTGGGCTTCAAAGTGCGCTGCAGCGCAATTTCGCCTGGGCACCTTAGGTAGTGCGCGTTGAGTGTCCGCACTGCACGCAATGTGATTTATATATTCTCTGATGTGTCAGCATACTGGACTTCAAAGTGCGCTGCAGCGCAATTCCATCTAGGCAACTTCGGTAGTGCACGTTGAGAGTCCGCACTGCATGCAATGTGATTTATATATTCTCTGATGTGTCAGCTTACTAGGCTTCAAAGTGCACTGCAGCGCAATTCCACCTGAGCCCCTTTGGTAGTGCGCGTTGAGAGTCCACACTGCATGCAATGTGATTTATATATTCTCTGATGTGTCAGCTTACTGGATTTCAAAGTGCGCTGCAGCGCAATTTCACCGCTTTTTTGAAGACGGTTTGCAGCTGCATTAAACGGCTCGCTTGATCCCGATATCCAAGGTATTGAGTTCCTTTGTGGTGTTTTTTAATTTTCCACCACTCCTCCCGAATGAAACATTGAATCCTTGCCTTTGATCATTTTCTCTTTGGCTTCCTGTTTCTCGTATTTATCGCACAACTCCTGTCTTTCCCTCCAGCTCCCTTTTCACTTTGCCATTGTGTTGGAAACAAAGGCAAGGTTTAAAAAAATAGAAGGCAGATGTCTCATTTCTAGGCTAGAAATAGCCTAAATGTGTTGGCATTAGAAGAGGACCGGAGGGGCTGATTTAGTTAATGGAGCCATGGATGCAAATTGGAGCTGAAAAGATGTAAACATTAGAAAGAGTCATCTAGTAATGCCTAGGAATCTCTGCTGCCTAGGAATCTCATTCTCTGGTGGTTGTATGGCCATCTGTTGGGAGGGTTCGGATGGTGCCTTCCTGCCTGGAAGAAGGGTGGATTCTATTTTGGAGCCCCTTCTCATTCTATGATACTATTGTCCTACTTCTCCATGGTCCAAGGAATGTCTATGGGGATGGATGGCTTGTGTCGTGGGAAAATCAGGCTGAACCAAATGATGGGGTCTCATTATAGGATCCTATACAGCTATGCTATAACTGGGAATACTGTGGCATTCATTCAGCTTTCAAAAGAAACCATAGGGCAGGATTTGCAGTTGATATTTATTATTTTCCTTCGAAAAAAAATGTAGTGACTGGAGAGAAAATCCCTCTGCTCCAGCGGCAATTCCAGAATCCGCCGAAAAGGCCTGAGCTGGAAAGATATCTGGGTAATTGGCCAGAGGCTTAGCCGAAACGCAGGCTTTCTAAGCCTCGGCCCCAGAGGTTGATGCAATTATCTCCGTCAACTTTGCCGCAGACTGTAAAGATGGGAAGGGAAGGCAAAGAGAGAGAAGCACCTCCAAAAGGAGTTCAACGGCTCATACTAGTTCAAACAACAGAACCATAGAATACTAGAGTTGGAAGCCCCCCCCCCCAGGTCATCTAGTCCACCCTCATTCTGCCAGGCAGGAAGACACCACCCGATCCTTCCCAACAGATGGCTATCCAACTTCATAGACATCAGCAGGTTTGTGGAGAAATAAGGCTATAGAATCAAAAGACTCCTAGAGCTGGAAGCTAATCCCCCCAAAGGTCATCCAGTACAACCCCATCCTGCCGTTAAGGAAGACACAATCTAAGGCAGTGGTTAACAACCTTTTTTTGACCAGGGACCACTTTGACCAGGAACCATTCTCCAACATTATTACCAGAAGGGTTACAAATCAGTTTGTGGTCAACTTTAGATTTGGTTTGGTTATTTGGAGTGCCGATTCAGAAAATTGCATTGGATAGACCACATCAGCTCTAGTTTCTGATACAGAACATATGCCATCCAGTAGTCGCCACCTGCTTGCCCACAAAAAAACCCCCCATATTTAATAAGCCTCAGAACTATAAGAGAGTTTTGCAAGACCAGTCACTCTCGTTGCCACATGGTTTTGAGGCAATGGTGTAGTAATGGTAAGACCACAGACCATATTTTTGTACTTGCGGATCACTGGTGGTCCACGGACCACAGGTTGTGAACCACTGATCCAAGCCCTCCTGACAGATGGCCATTTGTCCATTGGGCTCACTGCTGTTTATGCTGGGCAACAAGTGTCCCTCCAGGGTCTCTTGGAGATATGTGGGATTCATCTACGGTTCTGGCCCTATTTACCTCTCCGAACGCATCTCCACCTATGAACCAACTAGGACACTAAGATCATCTGGGGAGGCCCTGTTCTCTGTCCCACCTGCATCACAATCGCGCTTGACGGGGACAAGAGACAGGGCCTTCTCAGTGGTGGCCCCTCGGCTGTGGAACGCCCTGCCTGCAGCTATCAGATCGACCCCCTCCCTGCTGGCGTTTCGGAGGAAAGTGAAGACCTGGCTGTTCGAACAAGCATTTGATTAAACAGTGTAATTGAACATAGGAATACGGAATAATGGATGATGAGACTGGATTCTGATTTTACAGTTGAGGCGCTAATGATTGTTATACGGATGTTTAATGATTTATGTTACAATTGTTTTTAATTGCCCTATACTTGTCTCGTGATGTTTTGTATTGATGTTGTTCACCGCTTTGAGTCGCCTGAGGGCTGAGAAAAGCGGTATATAAATAAAGTAAATAAATAAATAAATTCATCTACACTATAGCAACAACAGCAATAATAATAATAAATTACCTAAATGAAATAATAATAATAATATAAATAATATAAATAATAATATAAATAATAAATTACCTAAATAAACTGTAATAATAATATACAGGTAATAAAGTATCTAAATAAAATATAATAATATAATACAAATAATACATTACCTAAACAAAATATAATAATATACAAATAATAAATTGCCTAAATAATAATAATAATAATAATAATAATAATAATAATAATAAATACAAATAATGAATTACCGTATATTCCGGCATATAAGACGACTGGGTGTATAAGACGACCCCCAACTTTTCCAGTTAAAATATAGAGATTAAGACGACTCCCATGCATAAGACTACACCCGCGTATAAGACGACCCCTGATTTTTGAGAAGATTTTCTTGGGTTAAAAAGTAGTCTTATACGCCAGAATATACTGTACTTAAATATAATAATAATAATAATAATAATAATAATAATAATAATCCTATCTCAAATTCCCTGAACAAAGATAAATTCTGGAATTAATTGTTTTGACTTCTGATAGCAAAATCGGTAAGGTGTCCATGCCCAGCATTAGCTTTCTTTTGTGTTAATACATTTTTATAAAAAGTGAAATAAGATAAAAAAACATTAAGACAGCAGCACACCAAAAAGAGACTGGGGACGCCGTCGAACATTTCCGTATTTAATTAGAAACATGATCAAAACAGCAATGCTTCACAGTCATTGGCTGCTCCTTTGGGGAATTGGGTTATATTATAATAGCATGGGTCATAACATATGTTAGGGATGCTGCCGATATTCCTTTGGGGAGGGAAGGACCATCAGCAAACTGGATAGAGATTGGTAGGCTCAGAGGGTGCATTTCCATTGTAGAATGAATACAGTTTGACACTGCTTTAACTGCCGTGGCTCAATGTTGAAGAATCCCGGGAGTTTACCAAGGCCTTGCGTGTTCAGGTGGTGCTTCGCCACACTACAAATCCCACAATTCCATCGCATTGAGCCAGGGTTGTTAAAGCAGTGTCAAACTGCATTCATTCAACAGTGTAGATGCACCCAGTTAAGTGCGACACTCCTGGGAAACGCTGCTTGTGCCACAGTGACCCCTACTGGCGAAGGTGGGAATGCCCCCTATCCGCCTTAAGAGTTACCAACTCTTTAAGAGCCTTTCAATAATAGAAAATGATTGACTGAGATGGTGCCTGTGGGATCGGGTTTGCCCTTGTTCCCCAGCTGTTTTTGTTCCAAGCAACAATTTGCACACATACACAGAAAAGGTGAATGAGATGTCATAAGCATTACGGTGAGCTTCCCCGCATCGCCGGCTTTTCTTTCGGGCAAACCGAATTAGCCAAGAGAGCCCTGCCAAGCTTTCACTGCAGAGCAGAAAAGCAGGCTCTGCTAATGGACCGGCTGTGGAGCTTTGCAACAAGGAACAAAGGGAAAGCTGGGATATATATTGTTCCTGCTATGTCTCTCCCACCCAACGTGTTCATTCTGAAATCCTTGAAATTGGTTTAGAAAGTCCCATTAATAAACCTTCAGGGAAGCCCTTGCTTTCTCAGAACTGGACCATTTCCTCCATCTCGTTGGACGCGTCACTCTCTTCTGTTCAAAAAGGCAAGCGATTGACTCAAAACTCAATGACGGGCCAAGCGTCAGTTTCGGCACCGGAATCCTAACAACAAGGAAGAGATTGCAGTTAGACGTTTAGGAAAAAGTAGGGAAAGTGGGGCTCGTGGCCCGCAAAGTATGACATGAGACATGTAACTGTTCAAGATAGATAGAGTGATACCTTGACTTAAGAATTTAATTCATTCTGTGACTGTGTTCTTAAGTCAGAACATCCTTATCTCAAAGCAAACTTTTCCATTGAAATACTATTGATCTGTTCCAACCCCCCAAAACCACCCCAGTTTGTAATGTGTTTTAAATAAGAAAATGTACTTTATAAATAAACAAATAATGTATAAAATGTTGAGAGAGAGGCAGTGCTTGGTTCCATCCAGCCACTGTGGCACGGAAGCACATTTGAGGCAACAAACAAAATGTGTGTTGGCCAATGTAACAGCATGTCAAAACAGCATCATTTTCTTCATACTGTAATTCCAGCCTCCCTCTTTCCCTCTCTTGCTCTCTCTTGAAGTGAAACATACAGTACCAGGATTAGCAAGCAGGCAGAGGCATGCAGGCAAAGGCACTCAGGCTGAGGTGTGCAGGCAAAGATGTGCAGATTGAGGCATGCAGGCAAAGGCATTATGGCAAAGGCATGCAGGCAAAGGCACACAAACTGAGGCACACAGGCAAAGGCACTCAGGCTGAGGCATGCAGGCAAAGGCACACAGGCTGAGGCACGCAGGCAGAGGCACACAGGCAAAGGCATGCAGGCAAAGGCACTCAGACTGAGACATGCAGGCAAGGGCACACAGGCAGCGGAATGCAGGCAAAGGCACACAGGCTGAGGCATGCAAGCAAAGGCATGCAGGCTCAGGCACGCAGGCAAAGGCACACAAGCTGAGGCATGCAGGAACAGGCACACAGATTGGGGCATTCAGGCAAAGGCATGCAGGCTGAGGCATTCAGCTATGAGGTACACTAGCAGTTCCAGTCTACTGGAAGCCCAGTACTGTTTAGGCTGAGGCTCTGCTGCACCAGGGTGGATTGCAACCTCTGGGGTGACATCTCTGGATTGGACTCTGCCCAGAATGTTCAGGGGAAGCAATCACATGGAGCTGGCATTTCTGCCTTGCAGGAAAAGCCAGAGCTGCTCCGGCTAGGAATCCAGTCCAGGTTTGGTTTCTCTCTCCCTTGCTTTTAGAACTGGTTTAGGGGGCAAAGAAACCTCTTTTGCACTGCTTGTAGGTCAAACCAGCATTTGGATGTCAAAACGTGGGACATTCTTATATAGCGGTTCTACTGTATACTATATGGAAACATACATGTTTGACAGAAGGCTATTTGACATGGGGACCCCAGGCATTTCAGTACATCAAGGCATTTGGTGAAATCTTGGAGTTTTCCCCATTTGGGGAACTCTCTGGCTGCCCTCCCATAACAGCAAATGCGACATTGCCGGAGACAATTAAAGCATAATTATAGTGTTGCATCCCAAAAGAAAAAAAGGGATCTGGACCATTTTCGCCTCCTTTTTCTTCCTCCTTCAGAGCTGCTTTGGATGAGTGTGAAAGACCTTGAAAAGGAGGAGGAGGAAGAGGAAAGGTTTGGCTGCCCCGAAGGAGGGAACGAGGCAAAATAATGCTACGAAGTGTTGATGCCGAAGTGCGAAAATAAAGCATTAATGGGAGAAAAGAACAGGCACATGTCCAATTTTCTATTAATAATAATTTTAAAAGAACTAATGAAGGAGGCATGATGAAGAGCCAGCTATAAGGAGCTCGGCACCTCAAAATAAATAAATAAAATAAACCGAGATGATGCAAAGGCTGGATGGCCATCTGTCGGGGGTGCTTTGATTGTGTATTCTTGCCTGGAAGAAAGGGGCTGGACCTTGGGGACCCCTTCCAACTATGATTGTATGGTATACAATGTGGTACAGTGGTTAGGACAGGAATCAGCTGCCTTTTTCGTGGCCTTCAGCCTAAATATTCAAGTTCTGTGAGCCAAATAAGCCAGATATGGGCTCTCTTACCCACTTCCTTTTGTGGCTGAGATGGGCAGGTACCTACCGAGTCTTCACTGCTTCCATTTCACCACCTGGCGCAGGTGCAGCTCGCTTTCGGCCGCAACTATGGGCTGTTCGTTCTGCAGGTGGTAGTTGATCAGGTGGCTGATGCTTTCGAACAAGGCGTCCTTTGTCCTCACCTGGAAGAAGACAGGGACAACACAGTGGCGCAATACTAGGGATAGAGCTCTGGACCAGGATCCGGGTTCAAAGTCCTCGCATCCTACAAGGCTGGGGGTCAGAAGTATAAAGAAAAAGAAGCCTCGAGGGCAGAGCTTTCCAAACATTTCATGTTGGCAACACACCTTCTTTTGGGGACATGGTCGCAACACGGTCATCCAGTTTGACCAGCAAACTGGACACACAAGAACATAGGACCCCTTGATACAAGGATACAAAAAAAAGGGGGGGGGGATATACCAGCATGCCACACAAATCAACTCCTTTGCTGCATAGAAAAATGCATGCGTATTTGATATAGACTCATTTTCGCACAACACAACGACACGCTCATGTGTTGTGACACATTGTTTAGAAAACTCTGATCTCGGATCTTGTGATTATCAGGAGGAAAAGAGAGTTGTAACTACTCTAAAGGGGGGAGAGCCAAGGAAAAGCAACGTGTACATATTTAGTAACTAGTTACAAATTGAGCCAGTACGAAATGAACGTCAGACTACAATTCTGGAGATCCATGTTTGAACTCCCACTCAGCCCTAGAAACCTTGCAAGTCACACTCTCTCAGTCTCAGAGGAAAGCTAGAAGAAACAAATCTGGACATTCACAACAACTCGAAGGCACACACTTCTCTAGGAATCCTATATCCTCCAGTACAACCCTATGGTCAACCTTGACCATTAAATAATACTGGAGGAGCTATGAATTCCTAGATAATTTTACAAATCTCTAGCTCTCCAGAACAATTCCTAGGTCCCTTGACTCTTCCTTCCTTCATGGCCGGGACCATCCCTTTGCTTTGTTTCTAAAACAATGAAATTGTATGAAAGGACTATGACTGGGACCTATAGAGGGTAGAGAAGCCATCTTAAGAACAAAGCTTGGAAAACTACAAAAAGAGGTGAACTGACAAACTGTAATTAAAAGTTGCTGATAAGAATTGATGACACTGATGACCAGAGACAAATGATTAACTCTGTGGTGGAAAACAACATGTTTATATGACCAGAGGCAATGACTCTTTTAAGTTAAGGAAGTAAACAAGGCTGCTTACAAAGAAGGAAAACCAACATCAGTTAAGAAGAAAAGCCGACATCTGCCTGGAATGGATTGAGTCGGCAAGTTTTAGCTGGAAGACACCTGTCGTTCATTTACAACTTTCTGGAACAACATCAGAAGAAATATGCTATATAAGAGACACGTCACTATTCCAAAATTGTGGCAAACAGGAGGAGTCTGGTCCAGCCGCCATCTTCTCCAAGTGACAGAGGAAGATGGTGTATTCACAGAATGGCAGATTTACAGGGAACGCAATCTGGCCTACATGCAGGTCTCTTTTCCCGGAGAAGGAAGAAGAGATGGTAATGTATGCATGTTGAGAAGTGAATGTTTATGTGTGCATGAATGTATAGTAAAATGTAATATCCCCATGTTTGTGTACCCAATGTAGATATTATTCTGTATGTCTGTAATGCTTTAAAAAAAGTATTTGTGACACGTACCACTCCTTCGGGGTCCACCAGGAGCAAGTGCTTGGGCTGCCCACCATGCATCCCGGTCAGTACGTATTGCCCAGGGTTGGTGATGCTGTCCCGCACCAAGAAGTCTCCGTCGGTTAGCAGCAGCTTCTCGGCATCCTTCCGGCTCATCTTGCCATGGTACCAGGGCTCTTGCTTCAGCTGCTCCTCTGTTGGGGCGATGGGGGCCTTCCGGGTCGGAGGGCTGGGCCACTGGTCCTCCACCGGTGGGCCGCTGACCAGGCCACACGCCGACATGGATGCATGGAGCTTCAAAGCGTCTTCGAAAGGCCCTAAGACAAACCCAAGGTCCTGGTGTTGGTTGGAGGAGTACAACAACAAGGAGCAAAATCTCCATATGTCCCACTTTCCTTCTCTCCACTTTTACCCACACTCTTTATTTGCTAGCAGGGCTGATACCCCGCTTTCATCCCTTCTTTCTCACTTTCCTTTTCTTCCCTATACCTTCACCCCTTTTATTTTTCTTCCTTCTTCCTTCCCTCCTTTTTCCTTCTCTTTCTTTCCTTTCTTCCCTCATTTTTCTTTTTTCTCCCTTCCCTCCCTCCTTTCCTTTCTTTTCCCTTTCCTTCTTTCCCCCTTTTCTTTTTTCCCTTTCCTTTCCTTTCTTTCTTTCCTTCCCTCCTTTCTCCCCCTTCTCCCTTTTCTTCCTTCTTTTCATCTTCCTTCCTTTTTCTCTTTAACCTTTTCTCTCTCGTTTCCTCCTTTCTTCCCTCTTTTTTCTTTTCCCTCTTTCTCCCCTTTTCTTTCTTCCTTTAATGTTCTTCCTTCCTTTCCCCTTCCGCTTTCCTTTCTTTCCCTTCTTTTTCTCTTTCTTACCTTTCTTTCTTTCCTTCCTTCCCTCCTTTTTCTTTCCGCCCCTTTACACCCTTTTTCTTCTTCCTTTCATCTTCCTTCCTTCCTTTTTCATCCTGCTTCCCTTTCTTTCCCTTCTTTTTATCCTTCCTTCCTTCCTTCCTCTTTCTTTCTTTCTTTCTTTCTTTCTTTCTTTCTTTCTTTCTTTCTTCCCTTCCTTCCTTCCTTCCTTCCTTCCTTCCTTCCTTCCTTCCTTCCTTCCTTCCTTCCTTCCTTCCTTCCTTTCATCTTCTTTTCCTCCCATACACAGGTCATCCTTATTTCCCAGTGACATGACAGAGAATCACTTCAACTAGCAACAGTCAGTCCAGTGACCCCACAGAGTGCCACTTCACTTCTGCTCCATTCCTCCAGGCAAAAGGGAGGAATTTCAGGGCAAGAACGATGCTTTCGAAAGGCCATGTCTATATGTGTGTGTATTTTTGCACCCATCGGTTTGCGATCTGGCCTTGAACAACCAGCTTGCCCCATCTTCCCTACAACATCACTCAAGAGATGGGTAATTTGAAAAGAGCTCTAATCCGTGCATCAACCTGATGATTTTGATTTATGGCAATTGGAAGGGACTGGCAGGGAAAGTTAATTGCATTGGTATGAAACAAACAAAATGAGAGAGAGAGTGCGTGCCTGAGCATGCAGAGATTTTAGAGGGAAACGAATAATAATTTGACAAGTGAAAATTTGAAAACACAGCATCGAGGTATGAAAGGCAAACAAACTGCGGCAAAACCTGGAGACTAGAAAAAAATCTGCCTCCTCTTAGAAATACAAGGGAAAGAAGGGAGGGAGGGAGAGAAGAGAAGAGAAAAGCAAGGAAAGAAGGAGACGGGAAGGGAAGAGAAGGAAGGAAGGGAAGAAAGGAAAGGAAGAGAAGTGATAGAGGGAACAAAGGAAGGGAAGAAATGGAAGAAGAGGAGGAAGGAGGGAAAGAAAGGAAGAACAAAAGGATGGAAAGAAGGGGAGAGAAAATGAGTAGAAAGGAAAGGACAAAAGGATGGAAGAAAGAGGAAAAGGGAGAAAGGGAGGGAAGCAAATGACAGAGGAAGCGAAGAGAAAGATAGGAAGAAGAAGAGAAGTAAGAGGGAAGAATGGGAACAAACGTCAGAAGGGAAGAAATAGAAGAAAGTGAGGAAGAGAAGAAAGTGAGAAAGTCAAGAAAAGGATGGAAAGAAGAAAGGAAGAGAAAAAAAGAGAAGGTATGCAATAGAGTGACAAAAGGAAGAATGAGAAGGAAGGAAAGGGAAGGAACGAAGGAAAAATCCAGATAACTTTAAAATATATATATAATTCCTCCTGAAATGAAATAACAACAAACCCACTCTGGGGAAAATGTTCTCAGGTTCGGTGCCAACAGTGGCCCCTTGAGACCTGAATTCAACCATCTGCCAAAGAAATCTGAGAAGCCACTGGAGTGCACCTCTCATGGATTTGGTGGCATGTCTCATGCATTTGCGGCGGTGGTGTCGGCGGTTATATAAATGCACACCCTGATCATCATTTTGGCAGTGGGAAGGTGATATTAATAAAATCATTATTCAGCCTGGCGAGGTGGGAGGGTGGCGCTCGGTGCAGATGAGACGGCGGCAAAATTAGAAACAGGAGGCCTCCTCATCCACCGCCTCCGTTTCTTCCCCACCTAAGAGAAAGGTCCCTTGCCCAGCTTGGCTCTTACTCATATCAAAGAGGTCTTTGGGGGGGCTCTCGGCAAGCGGCCGGGCCCCCCCAGGATCCGCTTCCCAGTTGTCCAAGTTCTGGGTGTTGACGTACATGTGGTCTTCGTAGTCTTGGGAGCCCAGGGGCTTCCCATCTGCTTCAACGTAGCCGTCGGAGCTCAACCCTGGAGAATTGGAACAAGTACATGTTTTATTGGGTTTAAAAAGCAGGGCTACAGCCGTCTTATGGTTGCCTCCAAAAACAACCATAAGCTTTCCAAGCATTTCATTTTGGTGTTATCAGAAAATCAATCCCCTTCCTCTAGTAATAATAACAACAACAATAATACATTTATAACATGTTTTTACAGATCTTAGCTGGGTCTGAGCCCCAGCCCAGCTCCAAATATTCCTGGGAGGATTAATCTTTACCAAGTCCATACAAAGAAGACAATGGCCCCACATAGGGGGGATATATATATATGTATATATTTCACATAGTGATTGGTGTTCTTTAGTTTTTACCTGATCCAGCGACAACTCCCATTGCATTCAATGGTGACTGGGGATGATGGGAATCAGAACTCAAAACCCATTGTGACTCTGAGGTTGGGGAAAAGGTTAAAGGGCATCGCAAACCCCGACATGATATCTGCAATCCATGTGCCTGAACTAGTCTCCTAACTAAACGGAACAAATGGCTGCCTTCCCAATGTTACCATATCACAACTCCTATTAGCTCTAGACATGGTGAGGAATATGGAAATCGTAGTCCAGCAGCTGGAAGGCCACGTGAAATGGCATGTTGGGCATCACTCGGCCTGCAGGCCTTGAATTTGATAGAGGTTCCTAGGGATAATATTTTCCTAGGCATTTATAGGTCATCTTAAGGTAAATGTTTGGGGAAAGATGGTCATCAAGTAGTGCTGGACGACTGCATGGGATTTTTATTCACAGTTTTCCTCATTTTTAGTGGTCTTGGGACATGAAGCCCCCTCCCCACCCCCACAAAAGTGTTGAGCCTATGGGAAAGAAGTCAATATCCTAGCCTTGACAGGATGTCCTCAAGGCATCCAATCTCTTGGCTGCCAAGCAGGTTCAGCCCTGGTCAATGCTTGGATGGGAGTCCACCAAGTGCAATATTTCAAATTTCTCGAACACCCCTTATCCTTCCCAAAGAGCAAACACCCTATGGAATTCATGGAATCGCCCCAACTTGACAGCATACATGTAGGGTATGCGGCGCTTTATTGCTAAGCTAATGCATTGAGTTGATGTATTGTACCCAGATCTTGCCAAGAGTGGAAGACTGATCCCGAAGCTTACCGTGAGAGTCGGCATCCCAGTTCAGGTTCGCATGGCTGCTCAGATCTCTCCTGGTGGGCGAGCCGACCTTGGAAGAAGAAAGTTTGGAAATGTCAAGGTTAAACATTGGACCCCAGGGCACATCTACATTATCGACAGAATGCCGTTCAATGCCACCATTTGGCAACTTCCCCGAGTTCGACGGCATCGAGTGGCGTCAAACACAAGCAGAGATGGGGAAAACATGGAAGAGCGAGAGTCACCTGACTGAAATGGCCAGAGTAGGAGAAGGGCACGTTGCCCAGCGAGGCACTGTGCTGGAGGCGGGAGTCCACCAAGCCTCCCAAAGGCGGCTCTTTGCCCGGGATGCTGTTGTAGTAGTCGTGCTCTGAGGCCTCCTCCTCTTCGCCCCATCCGGCCTCGTCCATCCCCATTGGCCTGGCCAGAAAGACCAAGGAGGAGAGTTATATTCCACAGTCTCTTCCTTGAATTGCTTTGCCCAGAACTAGACACAGGGCTATTTATTCCCAATGAGGTCTGACCAAAGCAGAAGAGAATGGGACTAGGATAATCTTATAGTGAATTTCACTGACTTTTTAAGCTGCTGCATCATATTGCCTCCTGTTCTGCTTATGGTCCACTGAAGCTCTTTGAAGTAGGCCTACTGTAGTTCCCAATTCTATATCTGTGCATTTCACTTTCCAAAGCAGAATATACACTATGTCCCAATTGATTGAAACAGTCTATAACACTATATAACACAAATTTTCTCCCTGGGTGTTTACACATATTATTTTTATATATTACTAGCTTGAGTACCTAGTGTTGCCCAGGTTATTTGAAAAAGTCATTTTTTTTAATTGTACAACATGCATGATGTTGTGGATGAACTACAACTCACATCATGCCAGGTTCACCCCGAAAAACTCCATCAGTACTTTCTTTTTTATGTTGGGTAAGTTTGCTCCAAATGCATCATCGGTGAGGTTCAGTGTGCTCTCTGGCTATAGGGTAAACTACAACTCCCACTATGGTGAGTCAGTCCCCTAAAAACTCTACAGTGGGTTGAGTTAGTCATGGGGGTTCTGTGCACCAAGTTTGGTCCAGGTCCACCTTTGGTGGAGTTCAGAGTGCTCATTGATTGCAGGTGAACTATAATTCCCAGTACCTACATTTCCAAAATGACCAGGTCAATTTCCCTCAAAATCCACCAATATTCAAATTTGGGTATATTGGGTATGTATGTTTGGTCCAGATCTATTGCTGTTTGAGTTCATAGTGTGCTCTGGGTGTAGATGAACTACAACTCCTATAAATCCCTCCAAAATGTTTTGTTGATCATGGGGGCTCTGTGTGCCTAGTTCCAGGTCCATCATTGGTAGAGTTCAGAGTGCTCTTAGATTGCAGGTGAACTATACATCCCAGTACCTACAACTCCTATACATCATGGTGAATTATCCCCAAACCTCTCTAGCATGTTCAGTTGCTGATCAATTCCTTTGCTTGCTGTGTGCCATAGAAAAGAATAGGAAAGGGTTAAGGGAGAGGCTGTGGGCAGGATCATGCAAATTCTACACCAATTGAGAGAGTAAGAAATACTGAGATGCCTGTGGTGGAGGAAACACATACAATCTAGGATGAAATTGTCCCCGTATGAAAGTCTTCACTTGGAAGGTGGGCAGTATGGTGTTTGTAGAGGACATTGGCAGGGGTTGTTCATGTTCATGGTGCTCGCCTTTGGTGTCTCCTGAGTGGTGGGAGCTAGAACTTGTCTGTGTAAGTGGACACCCCAGCCACACACTCATACACATTTCCCCTTTTATTATGTGCATAGATAGATAGATAGATATTACTGATATATATTATTAAAATATTTTATTATTTATATATTATTATATATACTGCTATTATTATTATTAATATGTTATTATACACAATTATTAATGTATTTATATATTTTATCTATAGTATGTATATATTTTATTATTAATATATTATTATCTATAGTATAGTGTTGTTGTTGTTGTTGTTATTTGAAACACAGCAAGATGGGTCCACAGAAAACAAGATCACTCTGCTGGTTGTTATACTGGATCACATGTCAGACACTTTCCAAGTGTCTAGGACTGTGTGATGTATCGGTGAATAATGCATGCATATCCCAGTAGGGTGGCCTTTTGCAGTTGACAGATGGTAATCTTGTCAGCGCCGATTGTGTTTAAGTGCAGGCCAAGTCTTTAGGCACTGTACCCAGTGTGCCGATCACCACTGGGGCCACCTTTGCTGGTTTGTGCCAGAGTCTTTGCAGTTCGATCTATTATTATTATTATTATTATTATTATTATTATTATTATTGTATTTATATATTAAACATGTTTTGTTCCTGGCTTATAGATGTCATTTCCTAATTGGCTCTATCATAAAAACATGGGAAAAGTTAACTAAAATGTCAAAACTTGGTTTTTGCAGGACATCCTTCCATAGCACATTTTGCTCTGGTTTGTCAATGAATATCTCATTGAGATATTCTTGACTTGTGTTCAGATTGTGGTCGAACACAGGAACGCCTGTGTTCAAACCAGGCGTCCCTCATCCTGTCATCTAATATTTCTCCCTGTTGACATTCATTTTATTATGATTTCTTTTTAAGCTCAAATAATTCTTCCAGGAGGTAAATGCCAAAATAACAGCAACAACAATGGGAAGTGCACCCAAATCATCACAATGATATTTTTGCAGGAAGGAAAGAAGAGATGCTTGACATTCCTTGGTGAGGACCTACCTCTCTTGTGGGGTGACGGTTTTGGGAGGACTGTGAAGGTACTGCTTGAAGCGGAGCTCAAAGGCCTGCCCGACGGTGCTGATGACGCTCTGCGCCAATCCGTTGCAGCACTCCAAGATGTGGCATGCTAAAGCAGGAGGAAGGCAAAGCGAGTTGTGGAGAAGGATCGGAGAACCATAGAAGTGGAAGAGAATCCCACAAAAGGCCATACAGCCCAACCCCTCTTCCATCAGGCAGGAAATTACTATCTGATCCCTCCTGACAGATGGCCATCCGGCCTTTGCTTTGAAATCTCCTGTGAAGGAGACTCCACCAGCCAAACAGCTTTTACCATTGGGATGTTGATCCCAATGATTAGGTGGAACCCCTTCTACAATTTGAAGCCATAGCTCCATTGTGTTGTCGAAGGCTTTCATGGCCAGAATCATTGGGTTGTTGTGAGTGTTCCGGGCTGTCTGGCCATGTTCCAGGAGCATTCTCTTGGAAACTAGGCAAGTGGGGTTTATATGTATACCTGTGTAATAAAGGTAGGAAGCAGGCAGGCTTTGAAGCTGCAAGGCCATTAAATGCTAATGAAGGGGCCAATTACAACATTCAAACAGACAGGAGTTCTTTCTCCCACCCTGGACATTATTCCACAGATATATAAACTTCATTTGCCCAGTTTCCAACAGACCTCACAACTTCTAAGGATGTCTGCTGTGCCGTCATGCCTGGGGGCTATAGATCTTAGTGAAAGAAACATGGACGTGGCATCTTTTCCCCAGGGGATTGCTTCTTGCCCTCCTTTAGAGAACTGGAACTCTCAAGGATCAAGACACAATAGATAACTCGAAATAGGCTTTCTTGTTCACAATGAGTTATTTTTCTTAGGCATAAACTTGATGTTTCAACAGGGGTAAAGAAAATATACGTTACAGTCTCTGAAGTCTTGGGTCCAAGGAGTTTTCCAGCTGAGAAGCTTTCCAAGTTCCCTCTTTCTCAATGGCTGTGAATGCCTGAACATTCACAACCCCAGTCCAATAGCCTATATTTGAAGACACAAAGTCTTCCTCTTGGTGCCAAAGGACTGGTTTGAAGGCCCTTAAGATTCCTCAACGTCGTCCAGGATGATCTGAACATGAAGCATGAATCTTAAGAGTACAAACTTAAGAATTCGTGATGAGAGATGACTTGACTGAGGGCTTTAGAGCCAAGCCTTTCTCACGTCCATCTGCTGAGTTGTCTGATGGTAGAATGAAAAGAAAGCACTGCCCTCTTCCCCAGGAAGGGGTGGAGTCAAACAATTGAGCAGGGGGAGCAATTCAACCGATCCAAAATCACATTGATTGACAGCTATAGGTAATCAAACAATTTAGCTATACATTTACATACAAGTGAGGCCAGATGCGCCGTCACACCTGCCATAGATGTGGGTGAAACATCAGGAGCCAGACAGCCCGGAAGACTCACAGCAAACCAGTGATTTCGACCATGAAAGCCTTCGACAACATAAAAGCAGAAGAGCATGTGACTACGGCTTCCCTCGATTGCAACACTCGACTCCTATGGATGCTGCCAGATATCACATTGGTCTTTTTAGCCGCTGCATCACACCATTGACTCACATCCGATCCCACCTAGATCCCTTTCATATGGGCTGTGACTTCCCTCAAGCTCGGCATTAGACTCCTAGGGATACAGCCTAGAACTCTCATGTCCCTGTATGAGGAGCTGGAGCTGATAGAAGGAGCTCATCCGCCTCTCCCCGGATGATAAAAACATCAGATCATCCGGGCGTCCCCTGGGCAACGTCCTTGCAGACGGCCAATTCTCTCACACCAGAAGCGACTTGCAGTTTCTCAAGTCGCTCCAGACACGACAAAAAAAGAAAGAAAGCCTAGAACTGCATCCACTAATAGTGGGAATGCTGGGCATTGCCGTCCAAGCTGAGTCCAAAGGTGGTGACCCTTACCTCGCTGGTTAATGGGGTCCTTGGCGACATAGGCTACATAGTCGGTTGTGTCCTGGAGTGAAAGAAAGAATACACAGTGAGTTTTAAAGACCATTTTAAGTGTATTTATTATTGTATTTCAATCTGTTTTTACCACATGGTTACTGTTTAATTCGTTTTTTTAAAAAAACTTTTGCATTGTTCTTTTTAAACTTGACTAAATGTGGGATTGTTAGCTGCCTTGGGTCTACATGGGGAGAAAGGTGGGGTATAAATAATAATAATAATAATAATAATAATAATAATAATATACAATCAAGAAAGCTGTGGAGTATTATTAATAATAATAATAATAATAATAATACTATACAATCAAGAAAGCTGCAGAATAATAATAATAATAATAATAATAATAATAATAATATACAATCAAAGCTGCGGGGTAATAATAATAATAATAATATACAATCAAGAAAGCTGTAGAATAATAATAATAATAATAATAATAATAATAATAATAATATACAATCAAGAAAGCAGCAGATTATATAGATAAGACTAGTTGTGAAAAGCCCCAAGGTACATCTCCACTGTGGAATTAATGCATCTTGACCCCCTTTAACTTCCATGGTTCAATACTACAGAACCCTGTTGCAAGGTTTCATCCTTCATTGCCCAAGAGCAAACTATAAATCCCAACTTTCCCTAAGGAGCAGTTCAAAGGGCATCAAACTGCTTTAGCAGCTCAAGTGTAGATGCGCCGCCAGAGTGTCCCAACATCCCCCATTTGGAAGTGTATTATTTTCAAAACTAACTTTGATTTTCTTTCATTGAGATTTTGGGGAAAATCAAAATTGGCAACCAGGAGATAAAGGGGACGAAGGACCGGATCTGAAAAGGCTGGAAAAGGAAGGAATGGTGAAATGGATATAATGCGTATGAACGAAGGGGTTCGGAAGGAGGGTGCATCTATGATGCAGAATCTATGCAATTTCTCCAAATGATAAATCCCGGGATCCGATTGCCTTGAGCTGCGGCAGTTAAAGCAGCATCAGACTGCAATCATTCTACAGTGTAGATGCACCCTAGATGTCCTAACTCTTCTATGATAATGTATTTATTTGTTTATTTGCAGTGTTTATATTCCACCCTTCTCACCCTGAAGGGGACTCAGAGCGGATCACAGAACACATATATGGCAAACATTCAATAGGTACTCGTTTAAGTGGTACCTATTTATATAGTTACATTGCTGTTTTCAAAAATGCTAGGTGGGCAGAAGCTGGGCTAAAGACCAGGAGCTCACCCTGACCTGGGCTTTGAACTGTCCACTTTCGGTTGGCAAGATTTACTGCAGCTGGCGGTTAACCTGCTGTGCTAAAGCCTGTCCCTGAATTTCCTTGGTTTCATAATCGAAGCAGTCCGAGGCTAGACTGCATGACCTTTGGAGTCCCTTCCCACACTAGGATTGGTCTTTTTTTTTTGTTTTCCCCAGCATTTCGCCACTGTGATTATGGGGGGGCTTACCGTATCGCCCCCCGAAGCGAAGGAGATGGATTGCATATGATGGTTCGCGATGATCTAGGATGGAAACAGACAAGGAGAGATGGCAGGATGGAGGGGGAGCTTATGGAGGAGGAGGAAGGTTCTTGCCACCATCACTCAGCCGTTGGATTGATCGGATGGTATTGATCCGGGTTGTAACCATTAGCCGGCGCATCTGCTCCAGGCTCAGAGGCCAGGGGCCAAAGAGATGCACAAAAATACATCCCCGTATTCATTGCTTTAGGAATGATCTTTTGCATGCTTTTAATGGTATGCTTTTTAAATACGTGGGGTGCTTAGGGTCTCCGTCCTGAGAAAAAAGGAGGGTACAAATAAATATTACTATTATTATTATTGTTATCATCATCACCACCAGCGCATAAACCCAGCACTGGTGAGTCTCCCTCTCTTCTTTTCTTCTCCCTCTCTCTTTTCTTTCTTGTTTTTTTCTTCTTCTGCATCTTCCCCACTCTTCTTCTTTTCCTTTCTTTCCTCTTTCCCCTCCCTCCCTCCTTTCACTCTCCCTTCCTTCCCCTTCTTTTTCTCTCTCTTTCCTTCCTTTCTTCCTTTTTCTTTCTTCTTCCCTCCCCTCTTCTTTTCTTCCCCCTTTCTTTCTTTCTTTCTTTCTTTCTTTCTTTCTTTCTTTCTTTCTTTCCTTCTTCCTTCCTTCCTTCCTTCCCTTCCCTTCCCTTCCCTTCCCTTCCCTTCCCTTCCCTTCCCTTCCCTTCCCTTCCCTTCCCTTCCCTTCCCTTCCCTTCCCTTCCCTTCCCTTCTTTCTCCTTGCCCCTCACATACACAGCACCTAGGAGCAGCCAATCAGCTTCTTTTCTTTCCCCAGTGACTTCCCTTCACCTAGCAGCAGCCAATCCTTAACCTAGCTGCAACCAGTCTGCTGTGTTTCTTTGCTTTCCCTTTGTGCTGGGACTGAACAGGGTGGTTTTTTTAAAGTCCAAACACCTCCATTATTTTAAGTTGGATAATAAAGAGTATGTGTGCCAAGGTTGGTCCAGATTTATCAAACCACAGAGCAGTCTGTATGGTACAAACCAGCATGCATACATACTTTGACTTCAATTTATTTATTTTATTTATTTATTTACTTTACTTATATACCGCTGTTCTCAGCCCGAAGGCGACTCACGGCGGTTCACAACAAATAAGAACAGCAAAAATTCAATGCTACAGTGTAAAAAACAGTCAACAACCTAACACATTACACAATTAAAAAACAATTACTACAATAACCATTCACTAGGTATGTTTAACAAATTTGATCAAGATCCATCATGCCTTTGTGGCACAAACCATACATATTTTGACCTTTAAATATGTACTAGCTGAGGTATTCAGCATTGCCTAGGTTTGTGTTTGGTAATGGTATTGATTAGTAAAAATTATGATTAGTTTTATTATTACCTTTTCAGGTAAAAGCTGGCTCTTTCCTACAACCCTTTAGTGATCTCTTGGGGTAACAGCTGGCTCTGTCTTGCAACCCTTTAATGAACTCTTGTAGTAACAGCTGGCTCTTTCTTGCTACCTTGCAATGAACTCTTATAGCAACAGTTGGCTCTTTCCTGTTACCCTTTATTGAAATCTTGTAGTAACAGTTGGCTCTTTCCCATGACCCTTTAATGAACTCTTGGGGTGACAGCTGGCTCTTTCCTGCAACCTTTCAGCAACCTTTTGAGGTAACAGCTGGCTCCTTTGGTCGAGTTCCATCAAGCCATCTAGCAGTCATCCCAAAACAAACAAACAAACATACATACACATTTTTACTTTTAGATAGATAGATAGATAGATGGTGATGATGATGTTCAAAATTGAAACAGACATTCTACTTTAACCAAAAACACAGGGATTCTGGGAGTTGCAATCCAAGATAATCAATTTCTCCCAAGAACACAGCCAGGCAGGGACTTACTTGCCGGGTTGTTGGGATCATGAGGTTTAGCCCATCAATGGAGATGTTGATGACAATACTGAGGCCAGCAAAGTGGAGGTTGCTCTTGCCAAGAATGGAGAAGAGAGCTTTGTTAGGAACCTGGGAAGAAAGAAGCAGCACCAAAACAAAGGAAGTCAGCCTTGCAGAAATGTACCAAAACCATTCCGAAATAAATAACACATCAGTGCAACATTAAGCATTTACTTAGATCTGAGTTCAACACGCACAACCCTTTGTTTCAGGTGGATAATACCCAGTGTTCCGATCGGTTTATTTTTAGCCTTCTTCCGTTGTTCCGATAGGAGTCGTAATTGCAGGGTTCCGCATCCACTGATTATATGAGTCTAATCATTCAATAGACACCCCATTAACACACAGAATTACCTTTCTTTCAGACGGGGAAATGAAGCATTACGTCGCTTTAATTAACGGTTTGCGCCCACTCCTTGTTAGAAGGCATTGTTGCGCTTTTAACCACTTGCCAAATACAATATTAACTTTTAGCCTTAGGAGCTCGTTCTTCAATAGGAGTCAGAGGGCGGTGAATTAAAAGGAAGCTGTTGCAAAGCATGAATGGGCGAGAAAATTTGGAAAAGTGGCCTCGTTCGAGTACAACTCCCAGCATGCTTATAGTAAGACCACCATAAATGGATAAACATAAACTTGGGAACAGTTTTTCTAGGAATTTGCAGGAAAGTCTAGGATAGAACGCCACTTGGTAGGGACCATTGCATTGCATAGGGTTAGGCTCTCATTCTCGCGATACACCCCTTGGCTCATTTTTATATACAGCAGAGTCTCGCTTATCTGACATAAGCGGGCTGGCAGAACGTCGGATAAACTAAAATGTTGGATAATACGGCGTCTCCTACTGTTACCCATCCAACGTGGCGCTAGACACCTAGACTATTAACAACAGTGACTCAAAGGGTTAAGACAAGGCAACGCCTCAGGGCTAGAGGGGCCCACCAGGAAGTATCTGGATGCGGAAGAGGATCATGAAAATCACAGAGGGAAGGAGAGAGGATGCTTCCGCTTCCAGTCCTGCCTCTTTCCCCCCTTTCCTTCCTCCTCTTCCTTGTCTTGCCTTTTTCACTTATTGGGGAATGGAGAGAGAGTTGGGGAGCGCTCCTTTAATTGAAGGGGAAATGCTGGAGGAAAATGGGGGCATCGGATAAGAGTGTCACATAAGACGGAATGTCAGATAAGCAAAGGTCGGATAAGCGAGACTCTATTGGATATACAGCTATATATTGCAAGGAAACCCACCTTTTTCTTCCATGTCCCTTTCACGCCTGGAACGGCCTCATAGAGTCGGTTGATGGCTTCCCTGCAGCAAAAGAGCATTTTGAGATGTACAATAAATAATACATATATATTATTTATGTATTTTTAAAATATTATTACTATATTATATATCTATACACATAATAAAAGTGAAAATATGTATGTGTGGCTGACTGGGGTGCCTACTTTCACAGACAGGCTCCTGTGCCCACCTATGAGGAGCCACCAATGGCACTCTCACCAATCTATTCTATTAGGCAATCTCTCGTTGGCCGAGTAGGATAGTCTTCCAGGATCAATGTTCTGGTGGGTCCGTAGGTGACTGTGGAGCCCTATTCTTGATCTGTATCTTCTTCCGCAGTGAGGGCATTGGTTTCCAGGTAGAAGGCGGTCCCGGTCGGGGTTGGCTTGACGCGCCTTCCTCTTGGCACATTTCTCTGTTTCACCCTCCATTCGTGCCTCTTCAAATTCTGCAGCACTGCTGGTCATAGCTGACCTCCAGCTGGAGTGATCAAGGGCCAGGGCTTCCCAGTTCTCAGTGTCTATGCCAGAGTTTTTAAGGTTGGCTTTGAGCCCATTTTTAAATCTCTTTTCCTGTCCACCAACATTATGTTTTCTGTTCTTGAATTCGGAGTAGAGCAACTGCTTTGGGAGATGATGGTTGGGCATGTGGACAACGTGGCCGGTCCAGCGGAATTGATGGCGGAGGACCATCGCTTCAATGCTGGGGGTCTTTGCTTCTTCCAGCATGCTGACATTTGTCCGCCTGTTTTCCCAAGAGATTTGCAGGATTTTCCGGAGGCAGTGCTGATGGAATCGTTCCAGGAGTTGCATCAGACGTCTGTTTACAGTCCACGTTTTGCAGGTATATAGCAGGGTTGGGAGGACAATAGCTTTATAAACAAGCACCTTGGTATCCCTACAGATGTCCCAGTCCTCAAACACTCTCTGCTTCATTCGGAAAAATGCTGCACTTGCAGAGCTCAGACAGTGTTGTATTTCGGTGTCGATGTTGACTTTGGTGGAGAGGTGGCTGCCAAGGTAGCAGAAATGGTCAACATTTTCTAATGTTACACCATTAAGCTGTACTTTTGGCATTGGAAAGGGCTTGGCTGGTGACTGCTGGAACAGCACTTTGGTTTTCTCGATGTTCAATGACAGGCCGAGCTTCTTGTATGCTTCTGCAAAGGTGTTTAGAGTGGCTTGTAGATCTTCTTCTGAATGTGCACAGACGACGTCATCAGCATACTGGAGTTCTATAACAGATGTTGTTGTAACCTTGGTTTTGGCTTTCAGTCTGCTGAGGTTAAACAGCTTGCCATCTGTCCGATAGATTATTTCCACTCTGGTGGGAAGCTTCCCATCAATAAGGTGAAGTATCATAGCGATGAAGATGGAGAACAAAGTTGGGGCAATAACACATCCCTGTTTGACACCTGATTCCACCTTAAATGAGCCACTTTGGGAGCCACTGCTGTCCAGGACTGTTGCCATCATGTCATCATGGAGGAGCTGCAGGATGTTCACAAATTTGTTTGGGCACCCAATTTTTTGAAGGATGGTCCCACCAATGACACTGCAGGTTATAGTGAGTGCTGTGAACATGTACAATCCCTGCCAGAGTCCTCCACCAACACCATACTGCCCACCACCCAAGTGAATGCATTCATATGGGGACAATATCATCCTAGATCTATATGTTTCCTCCACCAGACATCCCAGTGTTTCTTTCTCTCCCCATTGGTGCGGAATTTGCATGACACTGCCCACTGCCTCTACCTTAACCCTCTCCTACCCTTTTCTATGGTGCACAGCAAACAGAGAAGAATTAATCAGCAACTGAACATACTGGAGGGGTTTTAGGGGCCTGACTTAACATGATGGAAGTTGTAATTCACCCTGCATCAAGACAGCGCACTGTAACCCCCACTGACAATAGACCTGGACCACATTTGGCACACAGAACTCCCATGATCAACACAAAATACTGGAGAAGTTTGGGAGGAATTCATCTTGATGTACAGGAGTTGTAGTTCACATCCAGAGAGCACTGTGAACCCAAAGAATGATGGATCTGGACGAAACTTGGCATGCAATGAGGCAATAATAGAATAGTGTCCTGAGATGGTTTTTGAGCAACTGATTTTAAAGTTTTGTTGAAGGCTTTCATGGCTGTAATCATTGGGCTGTTGTAAGTTTTTCAGGTTGTATGGCCATGTTCTAGAAGGATTCTCTCCCAACGTTTCGCCTGCATCTATGGCAAGCATAGATGGCCATAGATGCAGGGTACTGTTTTGCAGTGGCTCCAGTCCTTTCTTGAGGGACGATCCCAGAAGGCGTTATTGGGTGACACCTGTTCGACCCCACAACCATTGTCGTGTGGAATCCCACAGGGTTCAATTCTGTCCCCTATGTCAGTGGTTCTCAACCTTCCTAATGCCGCGACCCCTTAATGCATTTCCTCATGTTGTGGTGACCCCCAACCATAAAATTATTTTTGTTGCTACTTTATAACTGTAATTTTGCTACTGTTACGAATCGTCATGTAAATATCTGATTTGCAGGATGTATGTTCATTCACTGGACCAGATTTGGCAGAAATGTGAGATACACCCAAATTTGAATACTGGTGGGGTGGGGAAGGGGATTGAGTTTGTCATTTGGGAGTTGTAGTTGCTGGGATTTAAAATTCACCTAGAATCAAAGAGCATTATGAACTCCACCAATGATGGAATTGAACCAAACTTGGCAAACAGAACATCCGTAAGCAACAAAGAATACTGGAAGGGTTTGGTTGGTAGTGGCCTTGAGTTTTGGAGTTGTAGTTCACCTACATCCAGAGAGCACTGTGGACTCAAACAATAATGGATCTGGACCAAACTTGGCATGAATACTCAATATTTCCAATTGTGAACACTGGTGGAGTTTGGGGAAAATAGACCTTGACATTTGGGAATTATAGTTGCTGGGATTTATAGTTCACCTACAATCAAAGAGCATTCTGAATCCCACCAATGATAGAATTTGGCCAAATTTCCCACAGAGAACCCTCATGACCAACAGAAAATACTGTGTTTTCTGATGGTCTTTGGTGACCCCTCTGACACCCCATCGTGACCCCCCTAGGGGTCCCGACCTCCAGGTTGAGAAACGTTGCCCTATGTTGTTTAACATAACATAAAGCCGCTGGGAAAGATCATCCAGAGTTTCGGAATGAGGTGTTATCTCTATGCGGATGACGTCCAAATCTGTCACTCCTTCCCACCCGTTACCAAGGAGGCTGTTAGAACTTTGAACCGGTGCTTGTCTGCTGTGTCAGACTGGATGAGAGCTAACAAGTTGAAATTGAATCCAGACAAGACAAAGGTCCTACTAGTCAGTTGTAAGGCCGAACAGGCCATAGGGTTACAGCCTGTGTTGGATGGGGTTACACGCCCCCTGAAGATGCAGGTTCGCAGCTTGGGAGTGATCCTGGACTCATCGCTGAGCATGGAACCCCAGGTTTCGGTGGTGGCCGGGAGAGCTTTTGCACAGTTAAAACTCGTGCGACAGCTGCACCCGTACCTTGGGAAGTCGGATCTGGCTACGGTGGTCCAGGATCTTGTCACATCCTGAATAGATTACTGCAACGCGCTCTACGTGGGGTTGCCTTTGAAGACTGTTCAGAAATTGCAATTAGTCCAACGGGCGGCAGCTAGAATACTCACCGGGGCGTCATACAGGGAGCATACCACCCCCCTGCTGTGCCAGCTCCACTGGCTGCCAATCCAATTCCGAGCAAAATTCAAAGTGCTGGTCTTGACTTATAAAACCCTATACGGCTCCAGTCCAGCGTACCTGTCTGAACGTATCTCCTTCTACGTCCCACCTCGGAGCATAAAATCTTCTGGGGAGGCCCTGCTCTCGGCCCCACCTTTGTCTCAAACACGCTTGGCAGGGACGAGGGACAGGGCCTTCTCGGTGGTGGCCCCCCGCATGTGGAATTTGCTCCCCGGGGAAATTGGGTCATTGTCATCCCTCCTCACCTTTACAAAAAAGGTTAAAACGTGGCTGTGGGACCAGGCCTTTGGGCAATCAGGTTAAAGGACAATTGATAATGTTTGACTATGGCATGGAAGAGGGTTTGGATAAGTTAAGCGGAGTAATCATTAGTAGATGGCTAGCTAAACAGCCACCAGACGGGCAATAGCTAATCAGAGTGTAAGTATACTGTTTTAATCTTTATTTATTAATGTTCATGTTTAATTGTTATATTTGTTATTCTGTATTTTATGATGTGGCATTGAATTATTGCCAATTGTAAGCCGCCCTGAGTCCCCCAGGGGTTGAGAAGGGCGGGGTAGAAATGTTCGAAATAAATAAATAAATAAATAAATAAATAAATGTATCCTCACAACCTCTGAGGATGCCTGCCATACATGCAGGTGAAACATCAGGAGAGAATACTTCTAGAACATGGCCATACAGCCCGAGAAACCTACAACAACCCAGATTTTAAAGTTAATATAAGTGATTTTAATGCTTGCATATATTTATGGTTTTATGTCCTGGCACTGAATGTTTTTCGTATATTTGTTGTGTTCTGCCCTGAGTCCCTTGCAGGGTGAGAAGGGCGGAATATAAATGTTTTAAATAAATAAATAAATAAATTGGTTCACCTGCACTCTGAACCACACCAACAATGTACCTGCAACTAACTTGGCACACAGAACCCTCACGACTAACAAAAAATACTGGCAATCTTTGGGTGAATTCATAAGAGTTGTAGTTCACCTACATCCAGAGAGCACTGTAAACCCAAACTATGATGGATCTGGACCAAACTTGGCATGCATACTCGATACCTACATTGGGATACTGGTGAGCTTTGAGGTGAATTGGCCTGGACATTTTGGAGTTGTAAGTACTGGGATTTATAGTTCACCTGCAATCAATGAGCCCTCTGAATTCCACCAAAGATGGAATTGGACCACACTTGGCACACAGAGCCCCCATGACCCACAAAAAATACTGGCAGTCTCTGGGGAAAATTCACCTTGATTTATGGGAGTTGTAGTTCACCTACATTCAGAAAGCACTGTGAACCCAAAGACCGATGGATCTGGACCAAACTCGGCACACATAACTGATATGCTGAAATTTGATTACTGGAGAGGTTTGGGGGGAACTGACCTTCCTTTCTGAGAACTGTAGTTCACTCACAACCAGAAAAACTGTGACATCCACCAATGATGGACCTGGAACAAATTTGGTACACAGAACCCCCATGATGAACTCAACCTACTGGAAGGGTTTGAGGGGCTGACTGACCATAGTGAGATTTGTAGTTTACCCTACAGCCAGAGAGCACACCAAACCCCACTGATGATGCATCTAGAGCAAACTTGCCCAACATACCAGACTTTAAGCACCTTATGCATTGTGTACAATTAAAAAGTTGACCTTTTCAAATAACCCGAGCAACGCCGGGTACCCAAGCTAGACATATATATATGTATACACACACACACACACACACACACACACATTTTAAGGTGGACTTTAAGGGCAGGAAAGAGTGTAGAGGAACCCTAAAGACGAACCCTATCAAGATGTGGACATACGCCTTCCCCATCTTCTGAGGTTGAGAATGTGTTACTTGCCCAAAGTCACCTTGGGAAACTGTAATTCCCCAATTCATCGGGGGTCCCCAAGGGCCATACTGCATCAAATTGCCCCAAAATAGAAGCAGAAAAGAAAGAAGAGTGGAGGCTTACTTGGTGACCTGTGTCCGTGTAGTGAAGTCCAGCGACCGCATGGAGCGGAGAATCTCGATGCATCCCATGTACTAAAACAGAAGAAGTCGATGAAAGAGGAAAGATTAGAATAGTCAAAAACATTTGAGAAAGTTGTTTAACAGTTGGGAATCGTACAGGGAAAGAATCTCGGGCTGGTGAGAATTTTCACCACTTAGGATGCATTCAGCGCAATATCATTTTGCACAGAAAATAATACAGGTTGAAAACTTGAAATCCCTTTTGGGTGCAGAAACGTTTGGGAATTTGGATATATATTATTTTCAGACTTTGGAAAGTTCACGTTTGCACGGGCACGCGTGAGACGGGAGCCATGCCGAAACACAGAATGTGCCTACGTTTCATATCCACGAATAGTCGGAAAGAAAATTTGTAAACACTCTTTTGTCATCATTGTGTGCATGAATAACAATTGTGCATATGCAACTATGCAAGGTGTAATAGCATGTAAATATGCATCGCTTTGGTGTGTAGCCATGGTACTCATTGATCCCTGATGGCGCAACGCTGGCATCCAAATGCAGGGATTGCATATTGCAACTCGGCTGGTAAGCTATATACGTAACATCGGCCGGTAAGCTATATATGTAACGTCAGCTGGGAGAGATATTTGTAATGTCGAAGCGGTGCCAGATCTTGGCTATCTTCCCCTAACGTTTCCATCCCGTGACATGGTGAACACAATACTCCTCCCCAAAAGAGACCCTCAGCTGTACTGACCATAGTGGGCACTCAATGAACGTAAACACTTACCCGAACGACGTATGAGACACCTGGACTGAGAACCCTCTCATCTGGATGGAGCCACCCTTGCACTGGCTTGCTGATGAAGCTCCCTTTGCGGCTCCACTCGTCGCTGGCCGGCTTGTGGCCCTCGGCCCGCGGGGCTTTTCTCCCACCACCGGAGCCTCCTCTAAGACGGCTCATCACGGGGAGGCTGCAGGGCGTGGTGCAGACCGGTTCACAGGCGCTGAGCACCGCGGCCAGGCCCGACCCCGACCCGGTCTTCCCAGAAGCCGAAAGCTCCTTGTTGGCGCTGGAAGGGCTGCGACTTAGGAAGCCCGAGGGTCCAGCAAACTTCCATTGGGGCATCTTGGGGATCAAGGTGCAGAAGGTGGTCCCGGCCTCCTGCTCCTCGCCCGGAGGAGAGGTCATGGGGTCGGACCCCGGGGCGGATGCCACCACCGCCGCGGCCTTGCTGCTCATGGCTGCCGTCTCCGAGGGCGTCGTGGCGTCGTTCCAAAAACGGTCGTACTTGGGCACTGCGAGCATGCCCGGCCCCGTCTGGCTAAGTGGTTTTAGAGTGCTCCGGCTCTGCCCGAGCGTCTCCCACTCTGCCGGCTCGCCTATCATCGCAGAGCGCGCCCCTCCCACGGGCCGGCAACCATCCCTGGGGGAAAAATTGGTTCGCAGCAGTTGCGGTGACGTCACGACCCCGGTGGCCTCTCTGCCAGCCAACTGCGGCAGGAGTCAAGATGCGCCGAGCAAGCACACAGACACACAGAGAGGGATGCTTCCACGTTGAATATCTCTGCCTCCTTCCCAGAAAGAGATGAGTCAAGCCAGATCTGTTGTGTAGAACCCAGGGAGGAGGGAATCGCATTTCAATTCGCCATGGAAAGATGGGAGAATATTCTAAAACATGCTTGTGAAACCTCAGCAAAAGCTATCCCAAGTCGATGAGAATTTTTCTCGTTGGGGGCATTTTGTGTACAAAATGAACAAATTTCCTGCCCTATATAGGATGTCAATATATAGAGAGGAGGCTATGACAGAATACATATTTATTCTCAAGTTGGGTAAGAAATAAAATACGAATGATATTATTATTCTGTCTACACATTCCTAAGTAAAGGTAAAGGTTTCCCCATTAAGTCTAGTTGTGTTTGACTCTGGGGTTTGGTGCTCATCTCCATTTCTAGGATGAAGAGCCGACGTTTGTAGACACCTCCTAGGTCATTTGGCCAGCATGACTACATGGAGTGACATTACCTTCCTGCAGAAGCAGTACCTATTGATCTACTCACATTGGCTTCTTTTCAGACTGCTAGGTTGGCAGAAGCTAGGGTTAACAGCAGGAGTTCACCCCATTCCCCAGATTTGAACTGCAATCCCTTTGGTCAGCAAGTTCAGCAGCTCAGTGGCTTAACCCGCTGTGACACCAGGAGGCCCTTCCACACATTCCTAGAGAATGCAACTACAAATTCACATCTCACGCCATTTGAGAGAAGGTCAAGCCTCCCCTTCATTGGAGTCTTTTTTCGACTCGCAATCATGGCCATCTTCCAGGAGGGCTTTAGTTGTGGATACCTGCATGGCAGGAAAGTCAGATTGGATGGCCCTTAGAGGCTCCATTCAAGTTTATTATTCTTCATAGGAATGTTCCTCAGAGCAGCTTTCGCAGTGGCCAAACGTCAGCCTTATGACTCATGCCAGGGTTGTTTTTTCCCCCTATTAACAGCCGTTGCAAATCCCTCTTAAGCTCCTGGCTTTGAAAAGCCAAGCCTGGCTTCCACTTAGGCTGCCCTTTGCTGTCAAGAGGGCCATAATGAGTCCGAAGGCAAGTCGGCTCATCACGAAGCCGACCGTCATTGCTCCGAAGTGCCGAAAGAGTTCATTAAAAGAGGATCTGAGCGGCGGGTTAGATAAACTTCATTATTTCTTTTGATTTCCTCTTTTTTTTCTTTCCTGCTTTTGCCGGGTGAATTTGGATTATCCCTGGCTTGAGTCAAGACACTGGAACATTTCGGCGACAATGTTCCCATCATCCCAGCCTTTTGCGGATACCTGTCCAAGGTCCTAAAGAAGAGTTGAAGACCTTGGACAGTTCCTATGGAGAGGGGAGATCAAGAAAGCCGACACATCAGAAAGTTAAATGGTCATCCAGTCCAACCCCTTGATTCTACCACGCAGGAAAAGCACAATCAAAGCACCCCCAACACATGGCCACCTAGCCTTTGTAATGACAACAGCAGCAATAATAGCAGCAGAAACTCCAGAGGCCATCCCGTCCAACCCCTTTCTGCTATGCAGGAAAAGCACAATGAAAGCATGCCCAACAGATGGCCACCCAGACTTTGTAATAATAATAATAATAATAATAATCCCAAGGGCTTTGCGGAACACAGTTTGAAAACCCTCGCTCTAGATTATGTTTCTCAACCTTTCTAATGGCGCGACCCCTTAATACAGTTCCTCATGTTGTGGTGACCCCCAACCATAAAATTATTTTTGTTGGTACTTCATAACTGTCATTTTGCTACTGTTATGAATTGTAATGTAAATATCTGATATGCAGGATGTATCTTCATTCACTGGACCAAATTTGGTACAAATACCCGATACACCCAAATTTGAATACTGATGGGTTTGGAGGGGGGCGTTAGATGTTGTCATTTGGGAATTGTAGATGCTCGGATTTATAGTTCACTAACAATCAAAGAGCATTCTGAGCTCCACCAACAATGGAATTGAACCAAACTTGGCACACAGAACTCCCACAACCAACAGAAAATACTGGAAGGATTTGATGGGCATTGATCTTGAGTTTAGGAATTGTAGTTCACCTACATCCAGAGAGCCCTGTGGACTCAAACAATGATAGATTTGGACCAAACTTGGCACATATACTCAATATGCTCAAATGTGAACACTGGTGGAGTTTGAGGAAAATAGACTTTGACATTTGGGAGTTGTAGTTGCTGGGATTTATAGTTCACTTACAATCAAAGAGCATTCTGAACCCCATCAACGATAGAATTGGGCCAAATTTTCCACACAATACTCCCATACCTTGAAGGGAGTCACGGGTGCGAGCCTTCCTCCAGCCTTGCACACTCTCCCTCACCTGCACATGTGCACCACACTGCCATGTGCCAAGCACGCCTGCTCTCCCCTCCCTGCTTGGAGTCTCAGAAACAGCCCTCCCCTTGGCTGAGAGGCCAGCCAATCACAGCAGAGGAGGGCTTTGGGGGGAAGATTTGCTGTCTGCTTCCAAAAAGGAAGAGAAGGATCATAGAATCATAGAGTTGGAAGAGACCTCATGGGCCATCCAGTCCAACCCCCTGCCAAGATGCAGGAAAATTGCATTCAAAGTACCCCCGACAAATGGCCATCCAGCCTCCAAAGCAGGAGCCTCCACCACACTCCGGGGCAGAGAGTTCCACTGCTGAACAGCTCTCACAGTTCATTAGTTCTTCCTAATGTTCAGATGGAATCTCCTTCCTTGTAGTTTGAAGCCATTGTTCCATTGCGTCCTAGTCTCCAGGGCAGCAGAAAACAAGCTTGCTCCCTCCTCCCTATGACTTCATCTCACATATTTATACATGGCTATCATGTCTCCTCTCAACCTTCTCTTCTTCAGGCTAAATATGCCCACCTCTTTAAACCGCTCCTCATAGGGCTTGTTCTCCAGACCCTTGATCATTTTAGTCACCCTCCTCTTCAGCCTTCTCTGCCAAAGGGGTTCCTAAGACCATCAGAAATATATGTTTTCTAACAGTCTTTGGCAACCCCTCTGAAACCCCCTCGCGACCCCCACAGAGTCCCGACCCCCAAGTTAAGAAACACTGCTCGAGATGCTAGACTCCCATCAATGCAGCCTAGGATTGCTTTGACCGTTTTCACACTATCGGCTCACGTTGCACTTGTGATCAACTCATGATCACTCATGCCATGCAACTATCAGCTTCCCGGTCCTGACACAGAGCACATGGTCAAGAACAGGATGCTGCAAGGACACATGAATCAGCCATAAAAGTCAATGGCCCTGAGGTGGGAGAAGGTGGGCTCTGGTATATGGGAAGGAGCAGACACGAGGCACCCGAGGTTTTGGGTAATTAATGACATTGTAGCTAAGGCCCTATAATACAGATGGGCGCTAGTGTGAGACTCTTGTCTTCTGAACAATCAGCATGTCTGGTATTTTCAGCCCCTGTGTGTCTTGGCTTGTTCTTTCAAGAGAAGACCAAACCCACAGCAACACAGTTGGAGCAAAGACCGCTTACATCGACTAAGACGCCTATATTTGAGCATTTCGTTTTTATTGCCAAAGTGTCACACCGTCAGGATTCATTCCATGAGTCTCACAATGGAGTCGGTCAAGGGCAGCCTTGCCTACCATTCCAGAGCCTCCCCGACAAGTGGCATGAGGAATTCCGAGTGCCGGATGCCGAGGGAGTAGGAGGGAGCCCTTGCCCTGTGGATTGTCACCTTCTCGGGGCTGTGTGCACCAGGCCCCGGGGTTGGGAGACCCCCTTTGCCCTGCTTGAACCTCCCCAGCATGGAGAAGGCCGGCGAGCGGCACAGGTAGACGTCAGGGTCCGTCGTCTTGTAACGGCCAGGCCCCGGTGTTCGTTGGAGGTCTTCCGAGTGACCACCTTTGGCGCTCCGGCCAGCAACGGAGAAACTGGGGCTGGAGGCTTTGTAGGGGACGTGGGGGCCCAGGAGTGAAGGGAGAGTGTAGCTGTTGGGGGCCGGGACGGGGTCCACCGGGCGGGGCTTGGTCCGGGCCCCGATTGAGAAAGAGGGTGGCCGCTGATGGGATGGAGGAGGCACCTTCTCCAAGTGGTAGGTTGCAGGTCCGGGAGTCCGAGGAATACCTGGAAAAGGCAAGGAGCACAACAGCATTGAGACAGACTGGCCTCATAATATGTCATTCATAGAATACTAGGGTTAGAAAAGACCCCAAGGGAAAGCACAATCCAATCCCTCCTGACAGATGGACATCCAGCCTCCTTGATATTTGATGGCACCTGGGGAAATAGAGCTATAGCATCCTAGAGTTGGAAGAGACCCGCAAGGGCCATTCCAGTCCGACCCCATTCCACCAACAAAGCCCTCTTGACAGATGGCCATCCAGCCTCATTTACATTTGATGGCATATGGGAAAATAGGGGTACAGCATCCTATAGTTGGAAGTGAACCCAAGGACCATTTGGGCTGACCCTATTCCACCATCAAACCCCTCCCAAAAGATAGCCATCCAGCCTCAATGACATTTAATGGCATATGGGAAAATAGGGCTACAGCATCCTAGAGCTGGAGGAGATCCCAAGGGCCATTCCAGTCTGACCCCATTCCACCAACAAAGCCCTCCCGACAGACGGCCACCCAGTCTCAATGACATTTGAAGGCAAATGGGGAAATAGGGCTATGACATCCTAGAGTTGGAGGAGACCCCCAAGGAGCACTCGGGCCAACTCCATTCCACCATCAAAGCCCTCCTGACAGATGGCCATGCAGCCTCAATGACATTTGAAAGCACATGGGAAAATAGGGCTATAGAATCCTAGAGTTGGAGGAGACCCCAAGGGCCATTCCAGTCCGACCCCATTCCACCATCAAAGCCCTCTCGACAAATGGCCACCCAACCTCATAGACATTTGAAGATTCATGGAGAAATAGAGCTAAATCATCCTAGAGTTGGAGGAGACCCCAAGGGCCATTTGGACCGACCTCATTCCACCATTAAAGCTTTCCCGGCAGATAGCCATCCGGCCTCATTTACATTTGATGACACGTGGGAAAATAGGGCTACGGCATCCTAGAGTTGGAAGAGACACCAAGGGCCATCAAGTGCAACCCCCTTCTGGCCATTTAGACTTTGTATGTGTGTGTGTATGTATGAATCCTAGAGTTGGAAGAGAATCCCAAGGCCCATCCCAACCAATCCCCATTTCTGCCATATAGGAACCCACCACCTAAGCACACTCTCTCAGCCTCGGGGAACTCTTTAATAGGCTTGAGAAGCTAGAAAAACCCAAATGGGGACATGATATGGTAATATTTGAGTCTGATGTGTGTGTGTGTGTGTATATATAGTTCCTTCCAGCTTACCCTTAGGCTTGCTTCGCGCCAGCATGGAATAGGAGGGTCCCTTGGCTCTGCCGAAACGTGTGAGCTCAGGCTCGACATAATAGCGCGGCCCAGGACTGGAGTCCTTCGGATGGACTGAAAAACACATTTAAAAGGACAATATACCTTCAGGAGTTAAAGTCATGGTTCTTTGCCGCTACAATTAGATACTCACTGCTGTTGTTGAGCCTCTGGTGGAAAGAGTAAGCCGGGCTGGCAAAGCGGGTGTAATCATGGTTGGCAAAGCCCACGGTTGGAGGCAAGCTGTAACGCCCGGGTCCAGGTCCTGTTCGGGAGGGTAAAATGATCTTTAAATATAGGCTGGATGGCCATCTGTTGGGAGGGATTGGATTGTGTCATCCTTCCTAGTAAAAGGGGGTTGGATTGGATGGCCTTTGGGGGTCCCTTCCAACCCTAGGATTCTGATATATATATATACACACACACACACACAAACACATACATACACACACACGTTTCCTGCATGGGAGGCCCTTGTCCGTTTCAAGCAAGTACAAATGTTGCAATTAGCAAGCTTGAATTAGCATTGGAGTAGCCATGAAACTGCAAAGTCAATCAGTGAGGGTCTCTGCATAGAGGTAGCGTGACCTCTGTTGCCTGGAGGCACCCTCTGTGGAATAATGCCCAAGGTGGGAGAAAGAACCCTTGTCTGTTTGAAGCAAGTGTAGATGTTGCAATTAGCAAGCTTGAATTAGCCTTGGAGTAGCCGTGAAGCTGCAAAGTCAATCAGTGAGGGTCTTCATAAAAGCAGCCTGGCCTTTGTTGCCTGGAAGCACCCTCTGTGGAATGATGCACATTGGAATTGGAGTCCTGTTCTTCTCCTTCTCCTTATATATACCGTATATACTCAACTTTAAGCCGACCCGAATATAAGCCGAGGTATCTAATTTTACCCCAAAGAACTGGGAAAACATGTTGACTCAAGTATAAGCCGAGGGTGGGAAATGCAGCATGTACTGGTCAATTTCAAAATGAAAATAGATACTTCAATTATTACATTAATTGAGGTATCAGTAAGTCCAATATTTTTGAATATTTACATAAAACTGTAATTTAAGATAACTGTCCATTATTTTAATCTTCTTCAATGTAAATGTGCTTCTGTATCCTTGCAATAATAATAAAGAGAATAAGATAATAAATGTAATAATTTATTAATAAAAATAAATTATTACATTTGTTATAATTATTATTGATTAAAATAATGGAAATGTAGTAATAAGAGTTATAATAGAGTAAAATAATAAATGTAATAAAAATAATAAAGTAAAATAATAAATGTAATAATACTAATAGAGTAAAATTATAAATGTAGTACAAATAATAATAATAACAGAGTAAAATAATAAATAGCCTTGACTCGAGTATAAGCCGAGGGGGACTTTTTCAGCCTAAAAAAAGAGCTGAAAAACTAGGCTTATACTTGAGTATATCTATATAAAGAAAAATGTAATGTTCGTTTGTGGAATTAACAGAACTCAAAAACCCCTGGATGAATTGACACCAAATTTGGACACAAGACACCTAACAACCCAATGTATGTCCTTCACTCAAAAAATTTTGATTTTGTCATTTGGGAGTTGTAGTTGCTAGGATTTATAGTTCACCTACAATCAAAGAGCATTCTGAACCCCACCAACGATGGAATTGAACCAAATATGGCACACAGGACTCCCATGACCAACAGAAAACACTAGAAGGGTTTGGTGGGCATTGAGTTTGGGAGTTGTAGTTCACCTACATCCAGAGAGCACTGTGGATCAAACAATGATGGTTCTGGACCAAATTTGGCACGAATATCCCATATACCCAAATATGAACACAGATGGAGCTTGAGGGAAATAGACCCTGACATTTGGGAGTTGTAGTTGCTGGGATTTATAGTTCACCTACAATCAAAGAGCATTCTGAACCTAGCCCACAATGGATCTGCACCAAACTTTGCACACTACCTAGATGACCAACATTGAATACTGGTGGGGTTGGGGCTGTTTTTGAATTCTGGGAGTTGTAGTTCACCAACACCAAAAAGGAAGAGAAGGACAGGCAGAGAGATCTTCAGAGTTGTAGTTGCTGGGATTTATAGTTCACCTTCAATCAAAGAACATTCTGAACCGCACCAACGATGGAACTGAACCAAATTTGGCGCACAGTTCTCAAATATACACACACATATACACATATATATACACACACAAAACACATATACACAGACTGGACCACAGCAACGTGTACAGGGGACAACTAGTACAATATGTATTATTACAATATATTATTACAATATATTACATCTTGGAGCCAGGCAAAGACCATAATGATCCAAAAAGCTATAGACCAATCTCCCTGTTGTGCCACCTCTACAAAGTTCTGGAGAGACTTATTTTGCATAGAATTATGGAAAAAATAGCCCCATGTCTGATTCCACAGCAAGCTGGCTTCAGGAAAGGCAAAAGCTGCACATCGCAAGTGCTGAACCTGACTCAGCACATAGAAGATGGCTTTGAAAGGCAGCAGATCACAGGAGCTGTCTTCATAGACTTGTTAGCAGCCTATGATACTGTGAATCACCGCCTCCTCCTGAGAAAAATGTATAATATCACAAAGGACTACCACCTCACCCGCCTCATAGGAAACCTGCTACAAAACAGGAGCTTTTTTGTTGAATTCCAGGGCCAGAGAAGCAGATGGCAGAAACAGAAGAACGGCCTGCCTCAGGGGAGCGTGCTCGCTCCATCCATGTTCAACATCTACACAAATGACCAGCCACTGCCAGAAGAGACAGAGAGCTTCATCTATGCTGATGATTGTGCCATTACTGCTCAAGCAGGGAGCTTTGAGATGGTAGAACAGAAGCTCTCCGAAGCTCTAGGTGCTCTTACTGCCTATTACAGGGAAAACCAGCTGATCCCTAATCCATCTAAAACACAGACATGTGCCTTTCATCTCAAGAACAGACAAGCATCCCGAGCTCTGAGGATTACCTGGGAAGGAATCCCACTGGAGCATTGCAGCGCACCCAAATACCTGGGAGTCACTCTGGACCATGCTCTACCTACAAGAAGCACTGCCTGAACATCAAGCAAAAAGTGGGTGCTAGAAACAATATCGTATGAAAGCTGACTGGCACAACCTGGGGATCACAACCAGACACAGTGAAGACATCTGCCCTTGCACTATGCTACTCTGCTGCTGAGTATGCATGCCCAGTGTGGAACACATCTCACCACCTAAAACAGTAGATGTGGCTCTTAATGAGACATGCCACATTATCACGGGGTGTCTGCGCCCTACACCACTGGAGAAATTACACTGTCTAGCCGGTATTGCACCACCTGACATCCGCCGGGAAGTAGCAGCCAATAGTGAAAGGACCAAGGCAGTGACATCTCCAGCCATCCCTTGTTTGGTCATCAGCCAGCACACCAACGACTTAAATCAAGAAATAGTTTTCTAAGATCTACTGAGACACTCGCTGGAACACCTCAGCAAGCGAGAGTCCAAAAGTGGCAGGCTCAAACCCAGAACCTCAACCAATGGCTGATACCAAATGAGAGACTCCCCCCTGGGCACACAGAGGACTGGGCGACTTGGAAGGCGCTGAACAGACTGCGCTCTGGCACCACGAGATGCAGAGCCAACCTTAAGAAATGGGGCTACAAAGTGGAGTCCACGACATGCGAGTGTGGAGAAGAGCAAACCACTGACCACCTGCTGCAATGCAACCTGAGCCCTGCTGCAATGCAACCTGAGCACATGCACAATGGAGGACCTTCTTGCGGCAACACAAGAAGTGGCCAGCTACTGGTCAAAGGACATTTAATCAACTACCAAGCTTGCAAACTCTGTTTTGTCTGTTTGTTTAAAAAATGTAAAAAATGTAATGCAATTGTCTGGTTGATACTGATATGATAAATAAATAAATAAATTACAATTATTATTATTATTATTATTATTATTATTATTATTATTATTATTAAATTACATGTACATAACAACACAGAACATATGCACATTAGGTCCAAGTGTCTGGGGTTGTTCATATATATTATTACAATATATTATTGTTATTATTATTATTATTAATTTACATGTACATAACAAGATAGCACACATGCACATTAAGTCCAAGTGTCTGGGGTTCTTTTATACTTGCTTTAAACAAGCAAGAGTTCTTTCTCCCACCCTGAACATTATTCCCCAGAGGGTGCCTCCAGGCAACAAAGGCCAGGCTACCTCTGTGCAGATAGCCTCACTGATTGACTTTGCAAACTTCATGGCTACTCAATGCTATTCAAGCTTGCTAATTGCAACATTCACACTTGCTTTAAGCAGGCAAGGGTTCTTTCTCCCACCCCGGACATGATTCCACTTGCCTCAATGCATCCTAATGGGAGCCTTTCCCTCACACCTGAGCTTCCATACCTGTCTCGCGAGCCGCAATGGCAGGCTTTGCCCCTTGCTCCTCCATGGAGAATGGCCTTTAAACACCCAAGCCTTTCAAAGTGTAGATGGGAGATGCAGGGTTTCGGACTCTTTGCAAGAAGCTGAAACCCAAACCTGGCTCTTGTTCTGGGTTCACGACAGGTAGGGTGCGCAGACAAAAAGATGCGCTTGAAAGGAGAGACGCGGCAGGTGGCCAGGCAGCTTTCGCTCAGCCTCCTCTTCTTTCCCCTCCATTGCTTCTCAAAGGACGCAAGGAATCATGTTCCGGCTTTCTTATTATTAGAATGACCAATGGGCCAACATCATCATCATCATCATCATCATCATCATCATCATCATCATCATTATTTTACATGTACATAACAACACAGCACAAATGCACATTAGGTCCAGGTGCCTGGGATTCTTCTTCTTCTTCTTCTTCTATCTATTATACATTATTATAATTTATTATTACAATATATCCTATTATAGATTATTAAAATTTATTATTACTCATAATTCTATATATTTGTAATATATTGCTATATATTATTATAATTAATTAATTATTATTAATACTAATTATACATTAGTGTACCGGTAATTATTGTAATAGGTTATCATATTATTACAATAAATTGTTATTATATATTATATGTTATTTATTATTATTATTATTATTATTATTATTATTATTATTATTATGGACAGTTGGCACATTGACCATTGGTCATTTTGATAATAATAATTTAATAATAATAATAATAAAATTCATAATAATTCTTATGATAATAATATAACATCAACAATTATATATATTATTATTATTGTTATTATTATTATTACAGTCAGTTGGCACATTGATCATCGGCCAGTCTGATAACAATAACAACAACAACATAATTAG